TATAAAACTAGAGAAAGTATAGAAAACAATAGAGAAAATAGATAGTTATATAAAATAGAAAGTGAAAAGTATCTAAGATATGAAAAAATTTATCTTTTAGAAATTCTAAAAAATTAGGTTTTGTTTAAATAAATTTCCTTCTCTTTAATACAGGACAATTATATTATACATTTATAACTATTTTAAAAGTTATACTTGATAATTCAATTATTTAAAAAAAGAAAATTGTTCAAGTCTTTTAATATCTAATTATAAAGTGTGTCAAATAAATGAGTTAAATAATAGTAATGTAACGATATTATTATTATTTATTATAGATGATTAATATCATTTTTGGGAATAAAAATTACAACAACAAAAACAATGAATTTATCTATAACTTTATTTTTAATTGGTTTGATTGGGTTTATTTTAAATCGTAAAAACATTATTTTATTAATAATTTCTATTGAATTAATGTTATTAGCAGTAACATTTATGATTCTTATTTCGTCTTTTGCTTTTGACGATGCTTTAGGACAAATGTATGGAATATATATTATTGCTGTAGCTGGAGCTGAATCAGCAATTGGTTTAGGTATAGTAATTGCCTTTTATAGATTACGAGGTTCAATTAGAATTAAATAATTTTTCTTTTTTACTTATACCGTTTCATAAATTAAGAGGAATTTTTTTATTGTTATAAAAAAAATGTATTTATCAATAATTTTAATACCTTTATTGGGTTCAATATTCGCTGGAATGTTTGGACGTAAATTAGGAGCTCAAGGTAGTCAATTTATAACTACTTTTGGTCTTATGGTAACAGCATGTTTATCTTTCATAGCATTTATGGAGGTAGGTTTAAATAGCTCAAGTGTATCAATTAATTTATTTAATTGGATAGATTCTGAATATTTTTTAGTATCATGGGGATTTTTATTCGATAGTTTAACTGTTTCTATGTTAATTCCTATTGTATTCATATCTTCATTAGTACATATGTATTCAATTTCGTATATGGGGACTGATCCACATACACAAAGATTTTTTAGTTATTTATCAGCTTTTACTTTTTGTATGTTATTATTAGTATGTGGAGATAATTTATTAGTATTATTTGTAGGTTGGGAAGGCGTAGGTGTATGTTCTTATTTATTAATTAGTTTTTGGTTCACAAGAATAGCTGCTACTAAATCAGCAATACAAGCTATAGTTACTAATAAAGTAGGTGATTGGGGAATGTCTATTGCTCTTTTTGCAATTATTTTTGTATTTGGAAATTTAGATTTTTCTAATTTATTCTCCTTAGCTCCATATATTAATACTGACATTTTAACATTTATTAGTTTATGTATATTAATAGGTGTTATGGCTAAATCTGCTCAATTAGGTCTACATGCTTGGTTACCAACAGCTATGGAGGGTCCTACTCCAGTTTCAGCTTTAATTCATAGTGCTACTATGGTAACAGCTGGAATTTTTTTAATGATAAGAACTTCACCATTATTAGAATATAGCAGTACAGCATTAATAATAATTACTTGTTTAGGTTCATTATCAGCATTTGTTTTTGCTTCTATAGGATTAGTACAAAATGACCTTAAACGTATAATTGCTTATTCAACAGCTAGTCAATTAGGATATTTAGGTGCGGTATGTGGTTTAAGCCAATATAATATAGCTTTTTATCATATTATTAATCATGCTTTCTTTAAAGCATTATTATTTTTAGCTGCTGGGTCTGTAATTCATGCTATGGCAGATGAACAAGATGTTAGAAGAATGGGAGGTTTAGCTAAATTATTACCATTTACTTTTATAGTGATGTTTATTGCTGCTTTAAGTAATATTGCTTTCCCATTTTTATCAGGTTTCTATTCTAAAGAAATCATCATCTTGTCAGGTTATGGACAGTATACATTTCAAGGATCTTTTGCTTATTGGTTAACGACTCTTGCAGCATTTTTTACTTCTATTTATACAACTAGACTTTTATATTTAACTTTTTTTTCTATCCCTAATGGTACTAGAAATAATTATGAAAATACACATGAGGCACCTTTCTTTATGGCAATACCTTTAGGTATATTAGCTATATTATCGATAATTTTTGGTTATTTATCTAAAGATTTATTTATAGGTATGGGTACAGATTTCTTTGGAAATGCTGTATTTATTCATCCTAATAATATAATTCTAATTGATGCAGAATTCGCTATTCCTTTATTTATTAAATTATTACCATCTATTTTAACTATTTTTGGATTTGTTGGTACATTATTATTTTATGAATTTATTCCTAATATTTTAGTTGAAATCAAATTATCTAAATTTGGTAGAACTTTATATACATTCTTAAATCAAAAATACTTTTTTGATTTAGTTTATTCTCGTATAGTTGTTTTAATTTTAAATTTAGGTTATATGACTCATAAATTAATTGATAGAGGAACTTTAGAATTAATTGGACCAACTGGTCTTACTAATCTTTTTTCTAATACTAGTAAAAATATAGCTTCATTAGATTCTGGTTATATCCCAAATTTAGCTTTATATATTATTTTATCTGTTCTTACTTTAACAGGTGCAATATTATATTTAGATGATGCTAGATTATTATTAGTGTTTATTTCTACTCTTTTTTTACTAAATTCACGTTATTTTACAACTAAAACAAACTCCCCCTTCTATTAGACTAATGAGTTTTATTAGACTAATGAGTTTTATTAAATTCGTGTTCAGTTTTATAAGAAGGAAATATATTTAGTTAAAAATAACTATAGAGAAAAAAATAATCATTATTAGGAATAAAAATATTAAAAAAATTACTTTAACTATCTTTATTTGACAATATCTTATTTATGTAAATTTTACAAAAAAAAAATAATACTATTATTAATATTTTATTTAAGAAAGTCTTTTTACACTGTTCATTATAGTTCATTTTATAAGAAATAAAAAAAATCAAAAATCTTAAAAAAAAATATAAATCATGCAGGAATTTCACAATAATTTATATTCTTTCTGATGAAAATATATAGGTTTTTTCATAATTTTTATCAACGTTTTAATAATTATTATACTAAATCTTAATTAAATTTTAACAAATTAACGCGTATTTATAATATTTAGGTTCTTATAATTATAAAGACTCTCTTTAAATGTATTTAAATATATAGACATAATTAATATTAAAAAAAGGAATGCGTAAATTGATTCCTTTATATAAATAGAATTTTTTAAATTATCTTTTACTTAAGTTTAATAAAAATTCATTGCTGATTTTTGTTTAAATATTAAATTTTATATTTAAATTAAAGTTAAATTTAATAATAATCAAAAGAACAAAGCAAAAACAGGAAAATAATATAAAACATAATCGTAATTATTCAGCTAATATTAAAATAAAATAAGTATTACTAAAGGTATTCTATTTTTATATTCAATAATAGTATAATATTAATATATACTTATACTTTTAAAAAAACAAAAGAATTTTTAATTATTCAGATCATAAGATTAAAAGATATTTTATAAATGATAAATTAATTAAAAATAAATAAATTTTATTCTACAATATTAATAAATTATTTTAATTTATAATAATAATAATATATTAAATAAGACAATAGCTTAACGTAAAGCTTTCTGCTCATAACTTATTGACACGAAAGTTTAAGTCTGCTTATCTTATTTTTATTATAATAATAGCCTTTACATTAGGCATAAATATATTATTAATACCATATAGTATACAGAATTTGTATATTATTAAATTCCTTAATTTTTATTACAGAGATTAAACTAAGGTATTTATTTAGTTAAATATTAAATCTAGACTAAATAGTTCTTTCTATAAGAAATATAAAATCTGAGATAATTAAAAAATAATTTTAAATTAAAAACTAGTTATATTTTATTATTTTTTTTATAAAATTTTATTACTGAACCCTGAGTTAAATAATAAAATAAAAAAGATTATAAAAATAGTATATATCTATAAAGATATATACATTCAACGATAGTATATATCTATAAAGATATATACATTCAACGATAGTATGTTGGGTGAACATAAATATTATATTAATACATGAATAACAATAATACTTTTATAAACACAAAATTTGGAATATGGCTTAAAGATAACAAAGCTATTAAGTTTTATCTAAATAGTGCTGAATTAAAAACTCTCATATTAAAAGAGAATAGAGGAAAAGCTGGAATTTATATGTGGACACATGTAGAATCAGGTAAATTTTATATAGGATCAACATTTGATATATCAGAACGAATGTATAATTATTTTTCTATAGAAAAATTAAAACGATCTAAAACGGCATATATTAATAACGCTCTTCTACATCATGAACACTCTGCATTTTCTTTAACTATACTTAAGTATATAGATATTTCAAATTTATCTAAAGAAGAAGCACGTGAATTGATACTTTTATCTGAACAATATTTTCTCGATTTGATTTTTTCACCTATTAAATTAAATACGTATAATATTCTTCCAACTGCAGGATCTCGATCTCGTTTAGGTGCTAAACATTCAAAAGAATCTATTGCTAAGATGTCAGGTGAAAATAATCATATGTTTAATAAATATATTTCTGATGATACTTTAGCTAAAATGAGTGAAGCTAAGATAGGTAAAGATAATCCAATGAGTAAAAAAGTATATATTTATTCTAAAGAATCTGATACAATAAAAGAAACTATATTATATAAATTTTTTGATACTTGTATAGATGTAGCAAAATTCTTTAATTGTAGTACACGAACAATAACTAATTATTTAGATAAGAATAAATTATATAAAAATCAATGGATTTTAACTTCTTTCCCTAAAAATGAAAAAGATTAGTACATTACTATCAATTATTTTAAGTGTTAAAAAATAAATTTATAACACCCTCTTTTTAGATAACTTTAATATTCTTTTCATATTATTAAAACAGAAATATTTCAAACTATATAGGTAAAATTATTTTTAAAATATACATAATAATAAGACAATAGCTTAATTGGTAAAGCACTTCGCTCATAACGGACCCGATGGAAGTTCGACTCTTCCTTGTCTTAATAAAGTTGTAATTTCAATTTATAAATAATACATGTAATATACAGAATTTGTATATTATTAAATTCTTTAATTTTCTTTGATTATATTTAAAATATAGCAAAATTTTAATTTAAACTATTAAAATTTTAATAGTTTATTAATATTATTCTTTTAATATATATTAATTATATTTTACAATAGGTTAAAGTATCTATTTAGTTAAATATTAAATTCAGAATAATAATTATTATCTGAAGTGATTTAAAATAATCATAAATTAAAAACTAATTTTGTTTTTGTTATTTTTCGATAAAATTTTATTACTTTTTCTTAAAAATATTATCTTTTAAAAAAGAATAAGGTTTTTATAAGTTATTCTTCATAGAATAATAAAAATTAAAAGATAACAAAAAATAATATGTTTCTGTAAAGAAATATACCTTTATCATTTTTTTATTAAATAAATTATAATAGAAATTATAATTTATCAAAAGATATTAGATTAAGGAATATAAAAAGAATAAAAAATATTTTGAAACTTTTAAAAACTCATCCATTTTTAAGTTTAGTTAACAGTTATGTAATAGATTCACCATCTCCTTCAAATATTTCATACTTATGGAATTATGGAAGTCTCCTTGGTATTGTATTAGTAATTCAAATTGCTACAGGTGTTACATTAGCAATGCATTAAAACGTACATGGTGCAAATTAAAGTAATTTAGTTTTAAAAATATCGCCATATGCTGGAAACTTCTTAGAGCCTTAGATACCAATATATTAATTGGTAAAAATTTTAAGGATTGGACAATCAGCAGGAAACCAAAAAAATAAATAATTATTTTTAGTAGGATCCTCAGAGACTACACGCGATACCCCTTATTAAATAAATCATTTTTATTTCAAGGGTGAAGATATAGTCCACTCATTAATGAGAATTAATGTGAATTTCTACATTTATTATATTAGTTTTTAATATTTAGGATAATGTATTGTTTATTTTTCTATTACTTTTATTAGAAATTTAATTTTATGATTTTAAATCTTTAATTAAATTTTTTTATAAATTTGATAATAGTTTATTGTTAATTATAAAAATAATTTAAATGAGTCTTTTTCAGGAAAGGAAAAATTATAAAGAATTCTCAAGATAATATTATTTTTAATAATATTTCTATCGATCAAAATTTATATAAATTAAATCCTAATTGGATAACAGGTTTCTGTGATAAAGAGACTTCATTCACAATATCTATATCTTTTTTTACAAACAGTAAAAATTGGATTATAAGACCTAGTTTTTCTATTCATCTACATAAAAAAGATATAAAAATACTAGGGTTAATTCAATTCTATTTTAATGGAATTGGGAACATAAATACTTCCCAAGATTCTGTTATTTATCGTGTAAGAAAATTAGGAGATCTTTTAATTACAAAATGTGATTTTATAAACTATCTTTTACAAACTTCCAAATTTAATAATTTTTATATTTTTTATAAAGTTATAGATTTAATGTTAGAGAATTATCATTTAAATAATAAAGGTTTCTTAGATATAACAAGTTTAATTAATAAATTAAATAAACCCTTATCTTATTCATTATTAAATAAAATTGGTATCTTACCTTTAACTGAATTAAATTTACCATCTATAAATTTAAACCCAAAATTAGATTCATGATGGAATAATAAATATACTTTGGTGGAATAATATTAGAACTAAAATTGTATCCTTGGTGAAATAATCTATTGAATTTATTATAAGATTTTAGTTCAAATCTTAGAATAATTCATTTATTTTTAAATTAAAATCTTTAAGCAGTAAAGTATACTAATCCGATTGTAGCTAATCCTGCATCTATAATTTTTGTAATATAAACATTTATATTCGTTTGTTAGCCCTATAAATTAAAGAAATGACAAACTTAAATTTAACAAATATTTTAAATTTAAACCCATAGTTTATTACAGGATTCTCTAATCTACTTTTTTTATATCAATATACAAATCAAAAGAGTATAAATCAGATTATTGTGTTCAAGCAACTTTTGTTATAGAACTTCATGTAAAAGATTTACCTTTATTATATAAAATTCAATCTTTTTTTCAAAGATGCAGGTATAATTAAATTTCGTAAAACACGATTATCCGCTATTTATTCTATATCTGGTATAAAAGATTTAACAACAATTATTATTCCACATTTTCTTAAGTATCCTTTAAATTTTTATAAACAAATTGATTTTTTACTATTTCAAAAAGTAGTTAATTTAATTAATAACAAAGCTCATTTAACTTTAGATAGGTTAAATGATATTATTAATATAAAAGCTTCAATAAATAATGGCTTATCAAATGAATTAAAAATTAATTTTTAAACGTAATACCAATAATAAAGCCTAATATTTTAAATATTAAAGTACCTGATGCTAATTGGGCATCAGGATTTGTTAGTGGAGACGGTTCATTTGATATTAATATTCATTATTCTAAGTCTCATAAACTGGGACTCAAATACAATTAAGACTTCGTATTTCTCAACATAATAAAAATAAAGAATTATTAACGCAATTTATAGATTATTTTGAATTTAGTTTTTATTATTCTAAACCTAAAAAAACTATAGGAGATTATTATGTTATCAATTTTAATCATATTGATAATATTATAATCCCTTAAAAAAAATAAAATTGAAGGTATTAAAAAATTGGACTTTAAAGATTTTTATGAAGTAGCTAATTTAATAAAAAATGAAGATCATTTAAATATTATTGGGATAGAAAAATTAAATTAATTAAAAATAGTATGAATAGATCTAGAAATAATTAACATTGTATAAATTATATAATGGATTTAAGATCTAAACTCCTCCTTTTCTTATTACTGGTTTCTGTGATGGTGAAAGTTTTTTTACTTATTTTAAAAGAAAAAGAATAACAACTAAAAAAGAAGAACGATTAGATTTTACTCCTGTTTTTAAAGTTTCACAACATAAAAAAGATTTATATATTTTAAATTATATTTTAATTCTTTTTATCTGGTAATATCGTTTCTGGGGGAAAATATTGAAAGATTAACTCCTCGAGTAAGAATAACAAGTATAGATAATTAAAAAAATAGAGTAATTGAGCATTTCTTTAATTATCCATTACAATCTTTTAAAGCTTTTAATTATACTGTTTGGGTTAAAATTATTAATACTATTTCTTTGGATCTTAACTGGTCTAAGGAAAGAGAAAATAATTTATTAATTTTAATAGAAAAATTAAACAAGTAATTATAAACTCTCCCTCATTATTTCTTTAAATAAAATAATAATAAATAATCAATAATTAAATAAACAATATATATAGAAATTTAGTTCATATTTTTATGAATAATATTATAGATGTACCACATGTAGATTTAGCTTTTATTAGTGTAGAACATATTATGAGAGATGTAAATTATGGTTGGATGATAAGATATTTCCATGCGAATGGAGCTGCATTTTTCTTTATTTTCATATATATTCACATGGCTAAAGGATTATATTATGGTTCTTATAAAGCACCAAGAGTAATGTTGTGGTCAATAGGTGTAATTATTTTTTTATTATTAATAATTACAGGTTTTTTAGGTTATGTTCTTCCTTATGGACAAATGTCTTTTTGGGGTGCAACAGTAATTACTAACTTAATGTCAGCTATACCGTGGATTGGAAATGATTTTGTAGAATTCTTATGGGGAGGTTTCTCTGTAGGTAACCCTACTTTAAACCGATTCTTCAGTTTACATTATTTATTACCATTTATATTAGCTGCTTTAGTAATAATGCATCTTATAGCATTACACGAACACGGGTCAAACAATCCACTTGGAATCACTTCAAATGTAGATAGAATAAGATTTCATCCATACTATAGTTTTAAAGATTTAGTAGGTGTTTTTGTTTTCTTCTTATTATTTGCATACTTTGTATTCTTTAATCCAAATTTCTTTGGAGAAAGTGATAACTATATACCAGCAAATCCATTAGTAACTCCTATTTCAATTGTACCAGAATTCTATTTATTACCATTCTATGCAATATTACGATCAATACCTCATAAATTACTTGGGGTAATTGGAATGGTAGCAGCTATATTAATTTTATTAGCAACGCCTTTCTTAGATACTTCAAGAATTAGATCAATGCAATTTAGACCAATTATGAAATTCTTCTTTTGGTTATTTGTAGCTAATTTCTTGATACTTGGCTGGATCGGTGCTAATCATCCAGAGGAACCTCTTGTAACAATAGGTCAAATTTCAACAATCTTTTATTTTGCTTATTTCTTAGTGATCTTACCGGTAATAGGTATCATAGAAAATACGTTATTTGATTTAGGAACTAAAACTAAATAAATTAACACCCCCCCTTTACAATATGTACAACAATTAAATTTTTATAAAAGCCTAATTATAATAAAAGTATTTTACAAAAGTTCAAATAAATGATAAAGACATTTATCTAAGAATAAATAACTATAAAGAAGAATAAAAATAATTTATATAAATATACAAATATTAGTATAAAAATTTATAACTTAGTACTAACGATACCATTAGCTTCTCTTAAATTATCAACGATCTTAATCACAGAATTGCTTCTCATAACATTTCTATTCTCATGTTATATCTCAAAGATACATAGAGGGTTATTTTAACCAATATTAATATATTAAATGGATGGTATATTATTATCATCAACTATTTATTTCTTATAAGTTAGTCTTTTAATAAGATCTGTTATAATATATTCTAATGTAGAAATTGACAAATCTAGAATTTTATTAAAAAACAAAAACAAGTTAATATTTACCAGTGTAAACACTAGGAATCAGATAAATTTTACATTGGTAATGTAATTGATTTATCTAGACGATTAAATAGTTATTATTCTTTTTCGGTATTAAAAAGAGTAAATAATTATATTTCTAGAGCTTTAATTTTACATATTTATTCAGCATTCTCTTTAAGTATACTTGAGTACATTA